AATCATCTCACACTTGTGTGGAGTTAAGTAATCTCTATTATACGTTGTTTGGCGTCAGCTCTCGTCTTCTGAGAAGGTCATCTCACTTATATTTTGAGCCTGTGAAATCCGGAACATAAAGTCCTTTCATTTTCTTCAAGATATTTAAAATATTTAAACAAGTCAAGTGCTTCGAGGCTCAGCCTCAGCATGAAATCTTCGGGTTTATTGCCCAACGAGGAGCTGAAGCTCAGCTGACAGCGATCCCTCAGTGTGATGTTTCTAAGCCCCGACTCTCGTTATCAGTAATTGAAAATGTCTGTCATCTCCGAAAGCCTTGAATTGGATCTTGTCTTGCAGTATTATTTTCTCACTCGTTACATTTAAGCAGTTTTGTGCAGATGCAGACGCAGAAGGACTTAGTGTTAATGGTGTTTTGCAGCTTAGACATCTATATTTTCTTGTCTGGGAAAAGAAGGAATCATTCCTCAATATGTTTGGCTCGACCGATATGATAGTTGTGTGGCTGATACTAGAGATGGACCCATCAGTGAGTGTGTTTGCATGCACATAATAATCTGATAACTGCAGAAAATCAGATTTTGTCAGTAATACGATCAACATGTTTACATGCACTTGAGGTATCAGATAATGGGGAAATTTCAGGTCTACATGAGTCAGACAGTAATCAGATTTCTGCTTTACAACCAGCCAATAAACTCACAGAAGAAGACGTGACGTAGCGTAAAACTCAAACTTCATGACTCGGCATTTTTAAACATATACATGATCTAGAAGATGAAAGATATTTAAATCTTTCATTTCATGTTTGATTTCAGTGCTTCTCCAAAAGTCTTTTGTTGCCATCTCGCGGCAGCACTGCTGGTACGTCCGTCTGTTTTCACACCTGCCCAGACTTAGAAATCCGAAAGAAATCAGAGTAAGAGTTCACACGCACTGAGAAATCTGATTACTGAGCTAAAATCCAGCCCTCTTTAACAGATTTGTGAATCGGATTTCTATATCGGAGTGTGGTGTTTACGTGACCATTTGAATAAACACACTCAATATTAACATCAGCAGGTGAAACAAACAGCTGGAATAATACATATAAACATCGAGAGGTAAAGCGACTGTGAGCAAGTGAAATAAATCTAACCAGCATTCAGTTTTCGATTTTCTTTTTATCAGGAAAGTAGCTGGTAGAAGATCTTAAAATGTCCAGCTGTCCACCGTAATTGCAGTGAATTGTGCTCACCCAGCTTTTCACAAAGTTTGGCCTGTCTTGCTTTCCACGTCTTTGGCTCTGCTTGTGCACTGAAATGGAATGTGCTTTGAGTTTCTTACTGCAGCTTAAGCTTATTTACAGCAATCAGAGTCCTTCATTCTCTACAATTTAAAATGGCTGTATATCTAACGCAACGAATCGATCTGTTGCTATCCTTGTTTTTGGTTGAGCACTGTCAGGTCAGGGAGAGTTTGGCACTGAACACTGCTGGAGGCGCTGGCTGTGCCGGTGGTAGCTTTCGCGCTCTGGATTTTTTAGTTTTTAGTTGATCCAAACAGTAAATTGTATTTTGGCTATTTTCATACATTTTCAAATGTATTTGATAAATACATTTACATACATATTTGTATATCGCTGCTGTCTGAAGAAAACCTTGTATCTCCATTTTTTGACGTTTTTCAGTTTTTGACATAATTTGAAAATGCCTGTTACCCTTTACATTGTATGTGAATTTCATGATGAATGGACTAAAAGAAATTGAGTCTGGAAAAAGTCTGGTTCCATTGACTTACATTAAAAGTAAAGTAGGTTTTTTTCTTCTCCTGTAAAGTTATTATTTTGGAGATATGAGGTTTTGTTCTGACAACAGTGATGATACTTTTCTATGTGTAATATTTCCCCATACGTCATAAAATAAATGTATTTTAAAATATATTTGGGTAATGTGGCAAAATATTCTGAAATACATTTTAGTGTTTGGGATGTATTTCGGCATGGATTGCAATGTATTTTAAATGTATTTCAAATATATAAAAATACATGCCCATATGTTTTTTTTTTCCATATGGTTTAGTACATTGTTAGTCTAAAATATATCTATATCAATAAATGCTGTAGCCCTGGGAGTGGAGCTGTTCTGAATTCATAGCAGTTTTGTTTTCTGTTACCACTTATATTTCTTATTTATATTAGCTATCTTCATATATTTGTGTTGTAATAACCACAGTGGTGTTTGGATCGAGCAGTTCAGCCTGTATTACTGTCATATACTTAATTGGAGAATCACTTTTATTGGGTTACCCAGTAGCACAACCATCTAAATTTCCCTATTCTCGGGAGGTTGCGAGTTCTGTTTCCGATGAGGATAGTCGCTGATTGATGCCGATAAAACTACAGCACATTAATATAGGTATATTGTTCATCTCAACTAATAATGAGTTTTTGAGACTGCAACATCTGGGACAACACCTGACTGAGTGCCGTCACATGTATATTCATTGTGCTCTGAGTTAGTCCGCTCTGCCGTGGGTAGTTATTAGGCCTCAATTCCCAGGACAGCTCATTATCTAGACATAAATAACACATCTCTCCTCCTAGCGTCTAAACACGAGTATATAAAGAGATCTTTTTTTAGACGTGTACTGCTTTAACGCTTTTTGGAATGGACTACTGGATGGGCACAGTATGTGTCAAATCAGATGAAGCTGAAGGAGTAGAAGGCTGAGCCTTGAGAGAAGGAGATGAAGTATTCATTGGGCCAAGTGCTTTTCCACCTCGCTGCCTGTGGTTTCGCTCCAGCGTGGAGCTGTGCGGGAGGCGGACCGGAAAGCTGCCTTATTCTTATTTAATGTCTCGCTCCTCACAGCCTGAACGAGAGCAGGAATGCTACACTAGAGATGCTGGTGTGTAATTTGGCTTCCGAATGTAATCATACACACTTCCCACTTGGCAGGTGCTACACCAAGGCAATAACTCGCCGAGCAAATTGACTTCAGCACCTGGTACACATTTTAGTCTATTCTCAACGGATGAAAGGCATCATGCGCTGCATCCAGAGTTACTGGAGAAAAAATACACTCACCGGCCAGTTCAGCTTGACATATATAGATATTGCAATTATATTTTCTTCATTAGCTGCTTGATTAAGAGTAAGATTAAGTGACCCTTATTAGTCCCACAATGGGGAAATTTCACCTCCGCAATCGAACCCATTCGTGCAGTGAAACACCACATACACTCTAGTGAAGATCAAACCGGCGACCTTCCGGTCGCAAGGCTGGTTCCCTAACCTCCAGCCCGCAAACAGGGCGTCAACGTATGGGCCACAAATGGCCTCTAACTGTACACAAGCAAGGTGGAGCCTTGGAGGCCGTTTGTGGCTCGTATGTTGATGCACTGTTTGTATTGACCACAGTTGAGTTGTTTTGACCCCAAGCTCTTCATCAGTTTCTCGTGGAGCCAGCTCTTGGCTGGATATTTTTGGGTGGTGGACCACTCTTAACCTAGCAGTGCTACTGATGTGTGTAGAAACCCCAGCGACACCGCTGTACCTCAGATACTGTGATTAAACTTGACTCGGGCTAGCTTTAGACTTGGTTGCAACTCCGCTCAGACCAGCCTTTGACTGACTCCCAAACTGATTCGGACTAGCCTTCAGCTGACTCTCAACTCAACTTGGACTAGCTTTAGACTGGCTGACAACTCTGTCTGGACTAGCCTTTCACTGACTCCCAACTCGACTCTGACTAGCCTTTGACTAACTTGCATTATGACTCAAACTGGCCTTTGATTGACTCTCAGCTTAACTCAAAATACTCTTTGCCTGACTCCCACCTCAACTCGAACTAGCTTTTGGCTGGCTCATAGCTTGACTTGGGCCAGCTTTTGACTCCTAAATCGACTCGGACAAGCCTTCGACTCCTAATTTAACTTGGACTAGCTGTAGACTGGCTGACACCTCAGGCCGGATTAGCCTTTGACTGACTGCCAACTCGACTTGGACTTGCCTGCCAAATTAACTCAGACTAACTTCAGACTGGCCTTGCAGCTTGACTTGACTCGACACCTAATTGGCTCATAAATTGATTCAGACTAGCTTTTGCTTGACTTGCAGTATGACTTAAACTAGCCTTTGATTGACTCACAATTCAATACTAACTGGCCTTTGACTGACTCCCAACTCAACTTGGACCAGCCTTTGACTCCCAACTTGACTGGGACTAGCCTTTGTTTGGCTCCCAACTCGACTTGGACTGGCCTTTGACTGGTTCCCAACTCAACCCGTACTAGCCCTTGACTCACTGTCAACTTGACTCAGACTAGCCTCTGATTGGCTCCCAACTCGACTCGGACTAGCCTTTGACTGACTCCCAACTCAACTCGGACTAGCCTTTGACTGACTCCCAACACGAATCAAACTAGCCTTTGACTGACTCCCAACTTGACTTAGACTAGGCTTTGACTGACTCCCAGCTCAACTTGGACAAGCCTTTGACTGACTCCTAACTCGACTCAGACTAGCCTTTGATTGACTCCCAACTCCACTGGGACTTGTAAACTTAAAGTGACTTGTGAACATGTCTGAGTCCACCGCCTTGCCTCTGTAGCCAGAAACTGACAATTAATGAATGTGTTAGAGGGGAGCTCATAAACTCTGCAGCAACAGATGGGCTACAGTCTGGAATTGTACACCTGTATCGTAGACTTTTAAGGTAAGTGGAGCTCATAAAGTGGCCACTGAAAGCCGAATGTAAGCTCTTCAGAGAATAATTACTGAGATCAGCGTTGGCATTTACTTTGGTATTTCCTTGTTTTCATGTCCTTCTCGGTGGTATTTACATGCAGTATATTAATGTTCTGTCCTTAACGTTCTGTCATTTTTTATTAGCCAAACTTTGGGTTGCAAATGTTTGGGTGATGACATTTTCCAGCACTTCTCCCATCCTGATTACCACAGCAGTGAGTTATGAGTTGATCAGGTGAGATGACCTCTCTTTTTCCTTTCCTTCCACAGAAGAAGTCGGTGATAGCGACTGGCCTGATCGTGGCCGTGTCCCTCTTCGTGGTGGTGGTCAACTACTCAGAGAAGCCCTACTTCCTGCTGCAGCCTGTGCTGGGCCAGAGCTTCAGCAGCCACTGGATGTTCTCCCGGCAGCCGCACAAGGCCTTCCGACCCCACCCTGGCTATGTGAGCGTCCCCAAACAGGAGGTGAGTGCAGCGTTACACTCACACCACTTTGCCACTACCTGCTCTCATACATAATTCGAATGATCAATATTAATGATGAATATTGTTATATTGCCCAGCCCTGTTGATCTGTTTTCTCTTTATTAGCCTGTAATCTGTTTGTTTTATTTGACATCACATTTTGAGTGTTTGTACTGGTTTTCTAAGGGTACTAGCCAGGAGTTTTCATATGCAGTCTTTGAATTTAGCGTTTTTATATACCCACGTTGCTAATATTTTTAGGAGTACATTATTAATGATGTTAGGGTGCAAAACTGTGGCTGGCCTAATGGTGTAGTACTTTCTCTTAGCACTGGTTTCGGCAACATGCAGCTCTTTTAGGGCCCTGTTGCGGCTCGACAGCATAACAAGACTTTTAGGCTCTGCTGATCATTCTAACACTGTTTTAACAATAAATGGTCTTAAACGCTGGAGTTAATGTAGAACTGCTAATTCACCCTTTGACCCTGAAGGTTGGCGCACAGACTGCTGATCTGCGTTGTCTGTATTGCACCATAGCAACGCAGGCAACAGTCTCATCTAGCTAACAGCTAACGACAAGGCAAAGAGAAAGATTTAGGACAAACATTGATATTTTGGAGACTAATGGACTTACTTGCATTTATAATCACTCCAGCTGGTTTCCTGATACGTTTAATCTGCAATGAGAAACTGTCAGACACTAAAAAGTGAAGCAGGCACCATTTAAGGTGGAACAGAAAAAATCGAACAAGAAGCTGGCGAATGACGAGCTGGCATCAGCCTCGTGAAAATCAAACGTTGAGAGACATTTTGCAAGAAACTATTCCACCTTTTTGGTTATAGACTGTTTTACTTCTAGGTTTTAATGCTGTGTGCTCTGGCTTATAGACTGTTTTTCGTCTAGATTTAAGGCTGTATGCTCTGGCCTATAGACTGCTTTACTTCTAGATTTCAGTGCTGTATGCTCTGCCTTATTGACTGTTTTACTTCTAGATTTCAGTGCTGTATGCTGGGCCTTATTGACTGTTTTTCTTCTAGATTTAATGCTGTATGCTTTGGCTTATAGACTGTTTACATTATCTTGGTGCTTATGTTGCTTGACACCAGCACTCCTGCTGTCTCTTTGCAATCTGGTGGTTTTCCCTTCTGAACTCATTACTGCAACTTTCAGATGCTCTACTTTCGAGTGAACTCCAGAAATCATCCTGTTATCAAGGTGCGTCCAGCTGTAAAGCCCTCCAGTAGGTGAAGTGCTGTTTGGCTAATCTGTATAGCCAGACCTTTTGCTTGGAAGTCTGCTGCTCACGTTAATAATAGCCTGCCCATCATTTTTATGGTCTGACCTCATATCTCCCGCATCATTCACAAGAGAGCGCCAGCGCTAAGTTACAGGTGAAAACATCTCCGCATGGAGGGCTGCCAAGGCAAGCGCTCTCACATGACCAAGGTTAACGGGGAGGCTGCGTGAGGCAGAATTTTGATTCACAGCAGCAGCAGGGAATAATGTAAATGTCCTCTAACAGAGCTCCACGACTTACGGCTGGAATTAGTGCAGCACTTTCTGAGGCTGCGCGACAGGGATAGAGTTATATGGCTTCATTTTGCTGTTGTAACACACCTTTCAGTTTATCGTCACTGTCAAAAAAGAAAAAATGAGCTCCAAAGTAGTAACTTTACAGGAGAAGGCAAAAACGTTCTTACCTGTTAAAGTTGTGGTGTGTAAGATTTAATGGCATCTAGTGGTGAGGTTGCAAATTGCAACCTACTGAATGGACCTCCCTCACCCCTCCCTTTCCAAGCGTATATTAGAACCTCCGATGGCTGTCAGGTTTTCTGCTGTCGCCTGTTTCGATTTCGTTTTGCTTCTCCGTGTTTTTGCTTTTTTGACGACGAGGATTCACCCTCCCTCACTTTGTCTAGTGCTAAATAATATGTCTGATCCTACAAAATTTGGGTTCTCAAACTTCTCACAACACAAAATTTTTAGCCAACACCAGCAGCAACCACTGATTCTTTTTCTTCCTTTGTCTTCCAACTAGTGCTGCTGCTTCAATGTAAAAACGTGAAAGACGTCTCTAGAGCAGTGTTTGGTTTGTCTGTTCTAGAAAAGTAGCTAAATAGGGCTATTCAAGACTATTTAAGTCTATTCCTCAAAGTAGTCACCTTCTGCTCAGCTTCATGAGGCAGTCACCTGGAATGGTTTTCATTTAACAGACAGGTGTGCCTTGTCAAGAGTTCATTTGTGGAATTGCTTGCCTTCTTTATGTGTTTGAGACCATCAGTTGTGTTGTGCGGAGGGTGGGTTGGTATACAGTTCTATACAGTGAATAGCCTTATTTGACTACTTTTGTCATCCATATTATGGCAAGAACCACTCAGCTAAGTAAAGAGAAATGACAGTCCAGAATCTAAAGTATTAAACTTATTCTGGTTTGTTTAACACTTTTTGTTTACTACATAATTCTAAATAATAGTTCACTACATAAAATATTAGAAAAATAATACAAATAAAGAAAAACATTGAATGAGAAGGTGTGTTCAAACTTTTGACTGGTACTGTAGATATAATATATGTAAATATAAAATAAATCTTTATAATAAATACAATTGAAATGCAGTGTCAGTAGCCCATGGCAGAGAACATTAGTTATTTGATTAAACAAGTTGCCTTAGTCAGCGAATGTATAGCTAATTTGACTAAATAATGTAGTTTATTAGAAATATAGTTTATTCCAAGCCATCTGAGACACAAATAAGTCATATTTTCTGCTACATATGTGGAAATAACCAGTACAAGCAGCCTTGTCCAGTGACACGCTGATTGAGTGGTTTATTACAGGACAGATTTTCCGGCTAATGAATGTGGTGATGATGATGATGATGATGATGATGATAGTGGTGATGGTAGTGATGATGGTATAATGGTGATGAAGATGAATTAGACCAAAGAGCTTATTCAAGATTGCTCTTCGTTTTGTAACAATAAAACATGATCTTACTTGGTTCATTCAGAGAATGTACCTGTCTGAAGTAATGAAGCCTGGTAGACTGAAGCCCCATAGACAGATAGAGAGATTGTCTCTGGAGTTTCAATGCTACAGTGGTCACAGTCACCGTGACCGAGCTGCATGCCAGGAAGCTTCTCTTGCTGTAAGACTGCCATGCTTCTGAAAGTGTTTTTGTAGAACAGCCAACATCAATAACACCCATCATACGACATTTGGCCTTTTTGGCTCAAACCTCGATTCCCAATAAACCAGGTCAGACTCATGTCGAATGCAGTAAGGCCGTCGTCCTCTAGCTTTCAGCTCAGGCACCCAGTTCAGCAAGGTCAGCTGTCAGGAGAACGTGTTTGACAGGCCATTGTGAGATGAATGTTTCTCCTCCTTCTGCTGATGGGTTCTTGGACTGAGTTACATTTCCACGTCAGACTGCTGGACAAAATAACACGCAACCCCGTTTCCAGAAAAGTTGGGAGGCTGTGCTAAATGTAAATAAAAGAAGAATGCAATGCAATGAAAAATAAAAAGTTGTGCAATGCTCAAAAAAAACCCTAGTGGTTAATTGGCAATAGGTGAGTAACATGACTGGGTACAAATAAAGCATCCCAGAGAGGCTGAATCTTTCAGAAGTAAAGATGAGGAGGGGTTCACCACTCTGAAAGACTGTGTGGGCAAATAGTTCAAGAATAACATTTTTTAATGTAAAATTGCAAAGAACATTTCATCATTTATGATACATAATATCATTAAAAGATTCAGAGAATTCAGAGAAATATCTGTATGCAAGAGACAAAACTGAAAACAAGCATTGGATGGCCGTGATCTTTGGGCCCTCAGGCGGCACTGCATTAAAAACAGAGAGTTCTGGAGTGGGAATCACTGCATGAGCTCAGGAACACTTTTGAAAACCATTGTCTGTGAACACAGTTCATCACTGCATCCACAAACGTTTAAAGTTAAAACTCTACCATGCAAAGAAGAGACCGTATACAAACAGAATCTAGAAACACCGCCGCCTTCTCTGGGCCCAGGCTCATTCAAGATGGACTGAGGCAAAGTGGAAAAGTGTCGTGTGGTCCAACAAATCAAAATTTGAAATTCTTTTTGGAAATCATGGACACTGCGTCCTCCGTGTTAAAGACCATCAGGCTTGTTATCAGCGCACAGTTCAAATGCCAGCATCCATGATGGTACGGGGTGCATTAGTACACATGGTATGGGTGACCTGCACGTCTGTGAAGGCACCATTAATGCTGGATGATATATAGGTTTTGGCAACATTTGCTGCCATCTAGACAACGTCTTTTTCAGGGAAGGCCTTAATTATTTCAGCAGAACAATGACAAACCACATTCTGCACATGTTATAGCAGCATGGCTCTATAGAAAAAGAGTCAGGGTGCTGAACTAGCCTGCCTGCAGTCCAGACCTGTCACCCATTGTAAACAAATGATGAATTATGACATGAAAAATATGACAAAGGAGACCCCGAACTGTTGAGCAGCTGAAATCCTATATCAAACAAGAACGGGAAAACATTTCATTTTCAAAACTACAGAAGTGTCTCCTCAGTTCCCAAACACTCACGGAGTGTTGTTAAAAGAAGAGGTGATGAAACACAGTGGTAAACATGCCCCCGTCCCAACGGAACATTTGGAACGTGTTGTTGGCATCAAATTCAAAATGGGTATATATTTTTCAAAAAACAATACAATTTCTCAGTTTCAACATTTGATATGTTGTCTTTGTACTTTTTCCAATTAAATATAGAGTTTAAATGATCTGCACATCATTGCATTCTATTATTATTTACATTTTATGCAGCATCCTGACTTTTTTGGAAATGGGGTTGTAGATGGGGAGTCAATTTTAAAAGCAAAATTTAACTTTAATAATAATAATAATAATAATAACAATAATAATAATAGTAGTAGTAGTAGTAATAATAATAATAATAATAATAAGCAGTAACAATAATCAGCGTGTGAACAATGTTAAA